CATATAATAAAATTGTAACCAAGCCGAATCTGTACATTACTTAAATATTTTTTAGAAAATCTTATGGAAATAAACATTATTATTATCGATACAGAGGCCGAATCTATAGTTTTTAGAATTTTTGTCTGTCTGTCTGTCTGTTACTGCATCACAGAAAAACATTTTGATGAAATTTAGTATGATGATAGATGGTTATCCGGGTCAACATATAGAATACTTTTTACCGCGGGAAAATATCTCATTTTTGAGAAAAAATACAAAAACTGCAATGTAATAGTATACCAAAAAGGGAAAACCTAAGAATTTGGATTTTGGTCATCTGAACGCGGGCGGAGCCGTGGGCAATGCTAGTTGTATATTAAAGGCAATGTCACGACTCACTGACTGACTGACTTATCACCGTTCAGCCCAAGCCGATGATGATAAACCCGCACCACAAAAAATGCCAGCTTTATATATCCATACTAATATTTAATGCGAAAGTAACTCTGTCTGTCTATCTGTCCGTCCGTTTCACGCTTAATCCGCTGAACAGATTTAGATGAAATTTGGTATAGAAATATTTTGAGACCCTGGGAATGACATAAGATAGTTTTCAACCTGGAAAACATATCATATATATGTGGTGAAAAGGGGAGTTGAAGAATAAATCTCCATTGATTCTCCAATCAATCATTTCTCAAGATATATATATATGTCTCTAATTCGTTCATGATATATATATATATATATATATATATATATATATATATTATAATACTTAGCTACTTTTCTATACCTATGTATGTACATTGTACGTATATATAGTCTGTTGTATACTTACCGTTAAACGTACCTAGGGACGAAGCAGAGCGAAGCGAGGGTGAGTCGCTAGTACATAATATAATATATCGTATTGCTGACCGGGCAAAACTGGGAGATTCAAATAAAAACCAAATTTACAAGTAATCTTCCAAGTTTCAAGTTTATGTTTTTAAAAAGGTTCCTGTCACGTTAAATTAAAATGATTCTCTAAACACATAATCTTAAATCTTTTGGGGCCAAATATTGAACCATTGCTAAATAATTGCAAGGTCGAGTTCAATACAGTTCGTCTTACACATGTTTTTATTACTATTTCATTCGTTATTAATGTAAATAAGCCACTTTTAGTACTGTTGCATTTAGATATGAGACTTGTTAAAATACAAAATATATCAAACATAACCCAAATCTTCTATATATAGTATAATAAAATTGTAACTAAGTCGAATCTGTACATTAAATATTTTTTGCAAAATCTTGTCGAAATAGTAATTATTATGGATACAGAGGCCGAATTTTTCTAATTAGATATTTATCATACAAAATAAATATTACCATCGTTCAAATTGGAGTCATCGCAAAAAAAAGCAAAAAAGTCAAAATTAAACTATAATTACATCGAATTAGACGGTTGTTTAAAGTCCAAAAACCTCTAGCATTAATTCTTTTCTAATTAGTATTTATTATACATAACAAAAAAATAAAAACTAACTTCAAAAAAAGCACTAAAAAGTAAAAAATAACTGATTAGTAGTTTTCATTTACTATACATACGTAATCAAATATTTTCGAAGTCGGCGCTTTGCTTTGTATCGACTGGCACCGACTTCGAAATTATTTGATTTGGTATGTATAGTAAATGAAAACTACCAATCAGTTATTTTTTACGTTTAAGTGCTTTTGTTTGAAGTCGGATTTTATTTTCTTGTTAAAAAGTTTTTATTTTTCCCTTTTTAGTGTAGACAGTAGTAGCAAAGTAAGAATTCTAACGTGTTAGGCTTGTCAAATCAAACAAAATAAGCCCAAACTCAAAGTATCTACTATTAGCCGTTGAAGAGTTCCACCTATCCACCTTCTGGCTTTACCATCAGATCAGGTCAACAATACCGAACCACTGTACTATCAACGGAAATAGAAACACTTGCAAAGTTTCAAGTCAATATGACAATTAGAAGTAGGTTAAATTAATCATTACTTTTTTTCCACCCTTAGGGGTGGCTTTTTTTTTAAATTTAAATGGGACCAATCTGGAAGTATACACTTTCAAACAACACAAAAATTGTCCAAATCGGTTAATAAATGACGGAGTTCTGAGGTAACAAATATAAAAAAAATCCATTCGAATTGAGAACCTCCTCCTTTTTGAAGTCGGTTGAAAATAAATACCACCTACCATCATTCAAATTGGAGTCATCGCAAAAAAAATTAAAGGAAAAAAATATATAATTACTTCGAATTAGACGGCTGTTTAAAGGCCAAAAATCTCTAGCATTGCGGACGTGAGGCATGTAATGAATAATGATTTAATTTGTGTAGCGAAACGTTAACAGACTTGGGAAGTCACAAAAGAGTATACATAAAGCACGCCTAGAGTATTCGACCAAAGCAGGGCGCGCTCCACCAATCATTGTTTTACTGTATGAACACAAAGGAATTTACTCTCACGGTAACATTTACACAAGCACTCACGTAAGACAGTGGTTGTAGGAGTAAGTATTATTTAAAATTGTTAAGAACATATGAAAATAATGTAATATACTCGTATAAAAAGTTTTGGAAATGGACAATGGCCAATTCTTGATGAGATTTTAAAATCTTTATTAATATCATAATTACGTGTGTCAGTTTGTCTTTCTTGGACGCAGCAACGGAGCCATAATCGGTGGCATATTTGCACGGAAATATTAAATGCGTTAATAGCCACATAATCATTTTACCCTGGCTTATATCAAATGATTTCTACGACACGTGAATGTTCCACAAAATGGCTACTGAACGACGCGCGGGTCTTAGTTAAAGTAAAAGATATCAGTAGTTTGATTTATAATAAATCTTGTCTTAGCCCTCGCATTTTTAAGTATTTTCGTGCATAGTAATAACTGCAAGGATAGGTAATTTTAATTTATCTATGATCAGTACGATTTGTGAGCCGTACTGTGGAAAACTACATTCAAGGACAGTGTTTTTTTTTGGAATCGTACGTCTACACTTGCGCCTCAAACATAAAGGCTTCAGCCGTGCTCGGTTCAACTGGCGTAACCGCAACTTTGACTTTAGGAAGTCTCCTAGTGCATCTTTGAAACCGTTCGAATTCATAGTTGAATACCATTAAAAAAATGAGACTGCCTTAGAGAACTTGGAGAACGCAATTTATAGAATTTGTGTGTGAACATCCATAAATATACATAATAGATAGGTATGTAGATGAATTGATAGCTTCCTCCGTTTTTGAAAGGAAGTTTAAATTTACTTTAGGTTGTAGAAAACTCGTTTAAAGTACTTTTTTTAGCTCTACTAAATTAAAAAAAACCGCAAGCTTTGCAGAATAACGAAGTTGCAAAATTATAACGCAAAGTCCACCAATCAATTTAGATGAAATATTCATTATTAGTATTATTAGTAGTATGAATAATTTGACGGAATATCGAGCTTCTTTGTATAGATTTAAAACATTAACTTGTAAACATTTTTTTATGTATATTGCTATTTTTACATACCTTTAGTATTATTTTTACACACAAAAAAACTCCTTGTGTATAATTTAATATTGCAATAAAGAATTTTTAATTTCACCTTACTCAAGATAAATAACCCTAAAAATATGGTTTCCTTTCAGAATTTAATCATTCTTGGTAATATTCCCCAAGCTATTTCGACAAAAATTTGCCAAGATATGGACTACATCCTTACCTTATATAGACTCCATTTTTTAAGGTTGGAGAAAGCATTTACGCATACCACCTTGACAGGCAGCTATGTGATGATTCACAGCTAAAAAAAACCAACAATACTCACTAAAACCCATCGGACTTTCCCTGTGAGAATGGGGCGCAGGCGCAGGATAACTTTGACATTTAACCAAAACTCCCCGATGGGTAACCTGCAAAGGTAGATCTCCTCAGTCCACTCGACCTCCGTCCACAAGAACAGTTTAGGGAACCCTCACAGTTTACAATGCAATCAGAAAATAGCTACTCGTAATATGGTCCTCTCTATCGACGACGATCGATTGACACGTGCCCAAGTGCGTTTCTAGACTGAAAACGCTACGCCCGGTTAAACTAACACCACGAGGAGATGAACAAACATTCGAGGATAGAAAAAAATATTACCAGCTATACTAAAACTCTAAATTAAAATGTATAGTTAAGAAAGCAAATATCATCTACTTATTTACCGGAAAATATCGGATAAATGGACAGTTAAATATTTAAAATATAAGTTTTATAGAAAATTAAACTGTATAATAAAAATATTACATATAGAGATACTAAAAGAGAACTTAAAAAAATCTGTGAATCTCTTAATTAGTATACAAATGCATACTAGCAAGCATTACGTTTGTTTTACATATTCACATGGGTAGTAAGAGAGAGAGAGAGTAAAGTAGAGTCCCGAAGTTTGAATAACTCTAGAACTAATTATATAGCGTTGCTTAAAATTTTAAATGAAAAAGTGAAGAATATGATTTATAGCTACTAGATCTATGGTTGAACGGTATTTAAATAAAATTCCTAACGGCTTTTAAAGTGGACAAACATGAAAAACTTATACAATATTCATTTATTTATATATATTAATATAAATTATAATAAATAAATTAATTAATATAATTTAACAATAGTTTCGAACATTATACATACAAATATATACGAGTATGATATATACCTATCATCTTTGCTGTTTTTAATTCATTTTAGCTCGCTCATTTGACTATCTACAATCGAGTAGATTGGTGGCTTCTAGAGTTCTAGCTGCTATTTTAGCTTTTGTTACTTGTACGATGAGAATTGGAAAACAAATAATAAATATTCGTGAAACAATATCAAATTCATATTCTAAGTTTAATTGGTTAACAAATAAGGCGTGCGATTTTTTTTTAGTGGTTGAATATGTAGAGATCAAGACAATACCTATTATGTAATGGAAAAAACAAAGTTATGTATGTTTTTCCAAAATGAAAAAATGTGCCAAAAATGGTAAATTAAAAGCATATCCTGTAATATGAAATAAACATAAGGCACGAGGAGTCAAGTTGAAGGCGCGTGAATGCGATGTGATAAAAGAGCGCGGGGTCGACGCCAACCGCCAGTAGCGAACACGCCTGCACGCCGATCGCCGGCGCACTTACGTACCGCGATATCTGCGCGCGATTTGCGCATTCGAAACTACAGCGCCCCCACTTTCGACCGTTATACATTTGGACATTCTCCGTCCACTCCGGTAGTGTCTGTGTTCTAAGTAGTCAAGGATTCGCGACGTTCCACAGAAACGATCGTACCAGGTGAGAACATAATGACGATACGAGTAATTATGAAATCAACTTGCGTTGTCTGAATCATGTGATAGAGAATGACGGGTGGGATCATAACTGAACGTATGTAAACATTTATCATAGTTACCATCTATCTGAGTATGTTTATTTTAATTATTTTTGGAACTATCTTAAAACATAAAAAGGTTTAATACGTATAAAAAATTTAAGGCTGTATCTAAATTCCAGTTTATATAAAATAAAATGTCCTTTTATTTAAAATACCACTTAATAATTTAAGTTATATATATGATAAGTGACAAATATTAACATTTCATAGTTTATAGCTACACGTTGAATATTTTCATAACAGGTTTTTTGCTTGAGAAATTCTAACAATGGTGGATGTACCTGTTTATGAAGCAAATTTTCTTAATTATTGATTCACATTTAGTAATAAAAAGGGCATTTGTACATAAATTAACATAATAAAAAATAATAGAGCTAACCAGACTGATAACTTTATGAGATTTAAACTTAATTTGCGAACATTTTGTACAAAATAATCACTTGTATTTGTTAATTACTAACCAAAGGTGGAAAATCTAAGTACATATATAGAATTCATCCAGACTAAACTTGGTATCTATATATAAACATTTACGAGGAAATTAGAAATAAGATAAGTAATTATCCTACTAGGTCAATAAGAGTGGTGTTTAAGGTTATAATGAAAAACATTCATTAAACGCAATAGTCTAAGAAAGGAGCTTGGTTTTGAAGCCAAGGATCCACCAAGGCGTTTTGCAGACGTTAGTATTCCCAGCGCGTTTGTCGGCGCAAAGCAGTGGACGTGTGACGTAAGGTCACGACGCCTGGCCACTGACATGACATGAGATTAACTCCCTGTTATCGCCTCAGACTCTATCGCGGCATATTTTTTTTGTTATTAATTTATTTATATAAAAACAATCATTTGGCTAATTAATAAACGCATAAAAGTGACCTAAAGTCGGTTTCGAAATGTAAAATATTGATAACCTTCATTCATCTAGATTAACATTACATTAAAAACTAATTAACATTTTTAAACTTAGTTGTTAACGTCAAACCCAGAAATAACTCGTTTATTATACGAGTATATATAAACAGACAAATTAAAAGCTTATGTGTACATAAGTATCTGTGTACATTCCATATAACACAAACGTGCTAAATAAAATACAAATTATGACGTTATACAATAAAAAAATTAAAACTTCTATTGAAAAGAAAAGTATTAATAATTATGAGAGAATTAAAAGGTAACCAAGATTGTTAATAGCATAAATAACTTAGTGAGTAGACCAATGTAATTAACATCATTTTTACCGTAATACAGCAAGGTCGTTTTAAACTCATCGGCATTTCCACATAAATGTAGGAAAATATTTCAGTGAACAATCAAGATGATGCTAAGTCCGGCAAAATATGTAGAGAAGTCTCTAGCAATGGTCATCGAGAAACTAAACAAGGAAAGCTAATATCAGAGTTTGTTGAAGGTTAATAAATACTAAGTACCTAAACATTTTTAGCAAAATTTAAATTTCTAGCATAAGTTATTTAATTGATATTTGATTTGTGAAGATAAGTAAACTATCGACTAATTTAATTTTATTTCTTGTATTGAAGTTGTATAACCATGAAATGAAATGGAATTTTTAAATTCTACTACTCACGTTGTGTATTCTATATCATATTATTATTTCAACAGAAATTTATTAGAAATATTATACTAAACACTTATTCAATCGTCCAAGCATTCTTTGTATTTATAAAAATATCTACATTAATATAAATCAGAAAATGTTTTGAGAAAATAATAAAAAAATGAGGTTTGTAAATATTAAAGTATGAACACATACATATATTATATTTTTATAAAAAGCTATCGACTCACCCTCGCTCCGCTCGGGTTCGTCCCTAGTTACGTTTTGACGTTTAGTTTAGATTTCTCAGAGATGAGGTGTTTTCCCCCAGTAAAATGTATTCTATATTTTGACCCGGATAACCAACTATTATCAAACCAAATTTCATCAAAATCTGTCCAGTGGTTTTCTCGTGATGCGTTCCTAGACAGACAGACAAGAATACTAAAAACTATAGATTCGGCCTCCGTATCGATAATAATGACTGTTTCAATAAGATTTTCAAAAAAAATAATAAATGTACAGATTCGACTCAATTAAAATTTTATTATATGTATAGATATTGCAAGAAATTACTGCATATACAATATACATATTATGTATATAATATGTTTAATACAAAAGTTAACATTATTCAGATGTTTACGGCAGTTTCATAGTTTTAAACGTGTCTAAAATAAATAAAAACATGACATAAGCATGATGCTTATGTTTTATTGCAAATATACAATTCTGAGATGAAAAATTATAAAGATGAACTACCTTGAAGTCGTTAATCCTTGAATGACTATTATCCAATAAGAAGTGTTGTTTATTGCTGCTTATGATATTTTTAGAGTTAGTGACGAAGTATTATTTTTGATGCTTACCTGACTTAGACATTGGAGATTTTAAGACAAATTAGGTGACAATGACGGATATTAAAGGAAGATTGCTATTCGACGTAGGTGGGTGTCAGGGATCACGTCCGTTTCGGCCTCGTACGTCCGACCAACGACGCTTGTAAATGTTTACATTTGTGCCGGCGACGGCCTGCGTTGTCTACCTGCGGCCCAACGACCAGTGATTAGTTGCAAAATGATCGCGGCCGAATTGAGTTCAGGGTCGAGCGTGTTGCCTCCGGGTGTTACGCAAGCGGGCAATGGCGTGCACCAACTCGCCCTCGTCCAACAATAAACACGGTGATACCACGCTAAGACAAGTCTTTGCGTGATTGTCTTCAGCGTGCATAGAGTTTTATTTAACATATTCGATCAAAGATCAACTGTCATAAAATATTTTTTCAACAACTTATCACGGTCCGTGTTGTTTGAATAAAAAAATATTGCTTACTTTAAAAATTTCTACGATTAGGAATCACTTGGATAAAGATATTTTTTCGGAAAATTTAGTTTTTTTGGGAAAATACACTTATAAAGGCAAACTTGAAAAGCAAAACCTTATCTAAATAAAAACTTTGATCCAAATCGTTAGAGCCGTTTCCAAATACGTATTATAAAAATGTACCTTTAAAATTTTTCTAATACCATGTGTATTTTATTCTAAAAATATGTAAAATAATAGCGGAATGTCTATAATAATAGCTTTTTCTAATTTGTTAAATTAGTAAACGTACCTATATATTGTTAGATAGTAATCCCCTTAGAATCATTTGGTCACGCTCCACTTTCGGTATAAATATTGCGTAAGAAATTGCTCTACCTGTATAGACTTTTCTACATTTCATATAGAATGTTATGATCAATAGCATTTTCATTGATTAAATCTTTAACGTTATATTATTAAGTAATTAAATTATTTTTTAACGGATCGTAAAGTATGTAGGTCAAGAGCAGTTAACAAACGCAATACTATACCTAACTATATGTAGCCCCAAATTTTTTTACATTAATTAGGCCAAGTATAAGGCTTATAATCTAGGTTTTAAAAAAATATGTGCTTTTTAGTCGGAATAGTGGTTCTTAAATTCAGTACCAGAAATCATTACAAGACTAGATTACTGCTTATGAGACCGTAAATTTTTGAGAACCTTCGGTTGTACTAAAAGATATCCTGTTGTGTTACATTAATCTATTTTAATAAGATGATGTAAATATTTTATTTTTTTAAGTTATCATAATTAAAATTGTTAACGAGAACTCAATATTGCTGAATTACAACATGTGACCTTAAAACATTCAATGCCTTACACTGTTTAGGTAAAATAATGAAATCATCAGATGAATCACGCCAAATCCAAGTACATAATTAGAAGAAATGAAATAAATACCAAGTACTTATACAGATTTCATTATTATTTGTATTTCTTTCGATTTCACTGGCTCGAAAGAGCCCAATCCTTTGGAAGGTTTGCGTGGGGACACAGGTCCGACACATAGAGGCCCCTTAAGAGATTCAAGTTTGTTTAATGTGGCGCATCAACCGAGATCCATCTCTAAGTAACCTATAGGGAATTGCTCAAATATGGTCTTCGGATAATGCGTAGGGGCTATAGAAAATATGGAAAACTAAAATGGTATATGATGGAGTTTAATGGGTTAAAAAACTTTGCTATTGTATGAGACTAGCGGACGTCTACCTTCTCAACAGTCTCAATATTGATCCTTAGGCAGACGAATGCTCGCTTCCCATTAAAAGGATCCCCACAAAGCGGCACAGTGCCTTGGGCGCAACATCAGCGTGGTCGGTTAAGGGTGTTGTGAGGTTTCACCATCGCGAGAGAGCTCGTGAGCGAGTTTCCCTGTTATTATAGAGATTTAGCACTTTTCCACCCTTTCGAGCTCTCAGCTCTTACGCTCCACTCTGGACACCCAATGAAGGCAAGTCAGAGGGATAGATGTTGTTTCCCCAAGAGGTCTCAGGTCCGTGGTATCGCCACTAACCAACAGCTCGCCACAAGCTGCCATGCGGGCTTTATTATTATTATATATAAAGTATCTAATTATTGAAACCAAGATAACAGCAAGAATAATATAAAGTACTTTATATTATAATTGTACCTATTTGTTTTGTGAATTTTAATTGTTTTAGTCAAAATGTACAGACATTTTAGTCATTTAAAATAAAAAAATATGTACCAACTACTAATCCCAGACCAACTTTCTAAACTATACTTTTCCACATAAAGTCGCGGCTTTGACGGATACTAGAAATTTACTAAATAATTTAGAAACATAAAATAATAACATAAAATCCTTCAAAACAACATTATTATACCCTTCTCTTCTTTCCGCATAAAAATGAATGTACGAGTATTTGCTAGTTAATATTTAATTTGACCACAAAAATATTTTTATTATGTCTAGATACCTAGATTATTATTACCTAGATAGATATTATTAT